TGGAAAGATTTAACAGAACACTGAAAGCGCTAATGTGGAAGTACTTCTATAGCGCCAGTACATATAAATGGTTAGACGTCCTTCAAGACTTAACTGATAATTACAACAGTTCAGTGAACAGATCAATTAAAACAACACCGAACAGTGTAAATGAGTCCAATTGGACTGAAGTATGGAAGACACTTTTTAGTCACAATTTAGACAAGCCATCAGAACCAAAGTTTGCTGTCGGAGAAAGCGTCAGGATCTCGAAGTACAAATCAGTGTTCACAAAAGGATACGAAGCAAATTTTACAGAGGAGTTGTTCACTGCGACAGAAGTGTATCACGGCCATCCAAACACGTACATAATAAAAGACAGTGCTGATGAACCAATAATTGGCAGATTCTATGAACAAGAACTGTATAGCGCTGAAGGAAGAGAACCTGATTTCAGAATAGAGAAAGTACTAAGAAGAAGAACAGTGAAGGGTAAAAAGATGGCTCTCATCAAGTGGTTAGGTTATGATGACAAATTTAACAGTTGGATACCAGCTGGAGACATCAAGTCCCTAACATAAGTTAAAGTATTATGGAGGACTACGATGACATCGAGTTGGAGGAGACGGAAAAAAGTTATCCTCAATATGACGATCTTAATTATGATGACCTAACGACAGCTTTTAGTAGGTTAGATACAAGGGTGAAGGGAGAGGCTATGTATGGTGATGACCCTATAGTATTAACTGATCTTAAAAGTGAACTGGACTATGTAAAGAATCTCATGGAGAGACATGCAATAGCAGAACCAACTTTTACCGAAGGAAATGATGGTACAGTGAACATTTCAGGTCCATCAGGAAGCACAACCGTCCCGGAAGTCAACTTCGTGGAAGACCCAAACAATGTACTTTCAGATGTGCTAGATGCATTCAACGAATCATTTGACGCTGACTGGGATGAAATAGAAGCCCGCCTAGAGAAACTGAAAAAGTTCTCAGAAGACCAGCTCACAGCAAGTAAAAAGAGAGATTTCGAAAACCAGGTAGAGCGTGTTCAAGCTGTTACAAGAGTTATCAAGGGTAAGGAGGGATTAATACTAGACCCTAAGAATAAATATGTCAGGGAACTCATAAAACGATCATCTGTAAGAACACTCAAGGATGGCACAGAGGTGTTGGTATTTAGAAGTGAACAAGGTATTGACAAAAGTGGCACACAAATAATGAAACGTGGTAAGACCAAGACTCCTGTGTACTCAAAGGACTCACCTGCTCTGAGGGAATATAAGGACCTTATAAAGAAAATAAAAGAGGTACCTACGAATCCTGACAATATAATTGGAAGTGATGAATTAATTTACGAGGATACTAAAGAAGAGCCGCAACTTGATGACAGTGATGAGGAATACGCTGACCGTGAGAACATTGAGTTAATAGATATAAGTGCAAAACTAGGAGATCTTCCAGGGCTAACAATGCAAGAAAACAATGAACTGAGAGGAGTACTTAACCCACCTGATGGATCAAGCATAGAAGGTAGAACAGGTCCCAATGGAGCGTTACAAGTCCAGGCTGACTACTTTAATGAAGCTATTGGTGAAACCGTGGAACGCGCCACTTCTGCGGAAGGTACAACTGAGTATAATTCCTTTATAGAAAGAATTGACAGTTTGAAGGAAGCCAGGGATAGGACACTAGAGCAGAGAACTGTAGAGGAAGCAAGAGAGGCACAGTTGGAAGACATTTCTAGATTACGTAAGTTTATAGACTGTGTAGGAAAGGAAAAGGTGGAACTTGTAGGGATAGCAGTGTCAACAGCTAGTTTAGTTACAGCCTTATTAATCCATGCTAGGGGAGCCATTGTGAAGACAGCAAAAGCCACTGGTAAAGTAGCAAAAGCATTAGCAAATTTAGCAAAGAAAGCAGGGCCAATTCTAGTTCCAATCCTGAACGCAATTGCAACAGCGCTGTCGTGGGGACCTAAAGGAATTGCTTGGTTAGCGTCACACTTATGGGTATTAGCTATAGCTGCAGCCTTAATGGTATACAACTACTTGGCGCAGCCTGCGTAGCCATCTACTAGCGTAGCTGGTATTACACAAAGTAAATTAGCTATGGAGGAACACCAAGAGGAATACGATGACCAGAAAATGGAGGAGTTGAGGGAAAAGTATCCAAACTATAAAGAAATGGATATAGAAACTTTAGATGACGAATTACCATACCTTGACAAGGATCTTAGGGAAAGCGAAACTACTGAGGAGACCCAGGATATTAACGAGGAAATTAATTACGTACGAGAACTAAGGAGAAAAACACTGAACGGAGACCTTACGCAAGAACAATTAGCTGAGAAATTCCCTGACCTATATAATCTGTCATACGATGATTTAATGGATAGGGGAGACAGACTTTTAAATGAATTAATACTATCCAATTTGGATGAAGACAGTTTTAAAGAAAAGTCGGAAGAACTGAGATACGTCAGAATGCTATCAAATGATTACCAAAGAGAGTCAAACTTAAAT